TTCACCATGGAGAGAAGGGTGCTCCAATCTTGAAATTTGTGCTCAAAAATCTCGTACCAAAGGTCAACAAACAGGACCGGACGGGCGAATGTGAAGCCAAAAAGGTGTGGTCCAAATTTGCTTCTGAGGACTGATCTCAATAGCGACCTCCAGGATGTTGTTCATGAAGTAGCCCAGCTTGGCTGAATGTTCCAAGGTGGTGAAGTCAGGTTGGTGTCGAGACCAGTGGAGAGACAACCGTGGGGGAGTCTCTGGTCGAATCGGGCGATGAGGAGAGCGGTGAGCCGAATCTGCCTGGTTGGAGGTTGGAGGCTGGGTGGATGCTTGAGTGGGGAAGAGGGAGATGGAAAGGTCGACGGGTTCGGTGGCAGCAGGTGCTGGTTCTGGGGCTGTTGGAGAGCCATTGGCGGGTGGAGGGCCGGTGGGTGGATGGGACGGTGGAGCAGTGGGAGTGGGAAGGTAGAATTGGAATGGGGAAAAGAAAGGATTGAAGGTTGAGTGGAGGAGAGCCTGTTGTTGCAGGTGATGAGTGGTATGTTGTTGTTGTTGAAATTGAAGGCAGAGTTGTTGAAGTTCCTCGGCCTCAGAAGCAGGGAGGGAAGTGAGTGGTGTAACCGGAGGAGGTTGAGGTTGGAACGCCTGTGGTGGAGTGGTAGGTCTTGACGTAGAATCAGGAGGTGTAGGTTGTGGGTGTGGTCGATCGCCAGGTCCAGGCAGTAGTACCAAAGGGGAGGGCACCGATCAGAAGGAGGATGAACGGAGGCAGGAGGCGAGACAGGTGTGTCGTGCGAGGTGGCGCGAGGAGCTGTGCGAGGTGCTGGTGGGTCTGCCCGTGTGCCGCCACGATGATGGCTGGAATGGCAAGACCTGGAACGTGTGGGGGGAAGGTTGGTTGTGCGACGATGCTCCCGTGACTCTCGTTGGTGTGTGCGAGAGTGGCGTCGCCGAGAATGTGAGCGGCGACTGTGACGGTCGTCCCGTCGTGAGCGTGATGCTGCGGGTGAGCGGTGTCGATGTCTCCGGTGTCGGCGAGAGTGAGCAGAGCGGCTTCTGGGAGAACGACGTCGATCATGGTTTCGTGTGAGTGGTGAACGTGTCGTCCGCGACGTGCGATAGGCGCGGAGAGAAGGTTGTCTGGGACGTGGTCGTGGTCCATATGGATTGAGGGGCTGTGGGCCCGTGGCACGTGGTTGAGAGGTTGGCGTGGTGCTGGAACGCGGGGTGGTGGGAAGAAAGGAACGGTAAGATGTGCAGGTGGAGTGGGTGGAAAAGCTGGAGTGGATTGTGAACGAGTGAGAGAAGATTGGGGAGGACGAGGGTTGGAAGGTGGAGTAGAAGTGTTGATGTTGCGGTGAGAAGAGTCGCCCGTGGTGGGATCGGAATGTGGTGGTGGATCGGGAATGCCGCGCGCAATCTCAGTTGATAGAAGGTAGGGGAGTGCCCTCGTCATCACCATAATCAGCTTCTTCAAGATGAGGTCTGGTATCCCTGGAGCGAGAACTGCGTCGATGATCACGTCGTGAATGAGGACGAGTAGATTCCAAAGAAGAACTCGCCATGAGGTCAGAAATCGCCCGGAGATGGAAACAAATGTAGTAACAACCCAAAATGTGAGTGAAGAATGAAATTCAACGTGTAAAATGCTTGTCGAATGTTCTAGAGCCAAGAGGAGAAAGGAAAAATGGGAACACGAAACTGCAAGGAAGAAGTGGAGAATAGATACCAAACGACACGCAGAGGAGGACATTCATTTTGAGCTGCCTGGCAAGGTATGAGGTGAAACTGTGAAACTAAGATCTGGCCGTACGAGAGCGAGAGCGAGATCTCGAGCGTATGTGAAAACGAGGTCGCGGTAAATGGCGAGACGGCAGAGGACTGGGAGAAATAGGCCTCCGGGTAGTAGTGTTGGGAGTCCTGGTAGTTCGCGATGAGGTCGTAGTATGGTGGGGTGTGTCAGAGTGAGTAGAAAGGGATGCACGATCGCCAAAGTCTGTGCGGCCTTCAAGTTCGTCTTCAAGTTGTTCCGGGCTCTGTTGAATAATATGAAGGAGGCCCAGGGCGGTAAGGAGCTCGTGGGTGTAGTGGACAGCGGTGTGGTTGAGCCGAAGAGCGAGAAGGAGTGTATTGTCCAAGCCTTCAAGGTGAGCTCGAAGCTGTGGGTGTGTGACCCGAGACATGAACGGAATAGTGCGAATGCTGAGCGGTATGTGAAGTAGGGCATGGACCTGGGCCAAGAGAACATGTACGAGAAGAAGTTCACGATGTAGCATTGCCTGAGCACGAGATGGAAGACCATGGATCGGCGCCAAACCACAAGGTGGTGTAGATGTCGAAGCCATGGCAAAAGAAGCAGGAAGAAGCGCGGGAGCGAGACGAGCAGTTGCTAGTGAGCCGAAGATAACATAGGAAAGAAAAGAATAGGAATGAATGAAGTCGGCAAGGAGACCGAAGGACCAGAATGAAAGCAAAATGAGTGATCAATCAAACAACAGAATCTAGTGGAAAGGGGAGCTTTTTCTGCAAAAGTAATTGGTTCGTGGTTCGGTTGGTGAGAAATCGGCTAAAATCTGAATCGTCGCGGAGGGGATCGTGACCGAGAGGGAGAGTGAGAGCTTGGCCTCCTCGTCAAAGTCGAAGATGGAAACGAAGGAGTCAGAGAAGGAGGAGAAGCTTGAGGAGGACAGGGATCCGTGGTAGTAGTCATCGTCGGCGTCACAGGTGGAGAAGGAGGAGAAGGAAAGAGGATAAGAGGAGGCCCGGGTGAAGAAAAGGTTGTAGGAGAGGAACCCGCGTGGCCGGTGGAACGTGGAAATGCCAAAATGGAGCATAGTTCATCGGCGTGTACCAGTGTAGTACGGGTAGATCGTCGAATCTGGTCCATGCTGGTCTCCAGTGCACGAAGGGTAGAGCTGAGACGAGGTCAAGTGATCGTGTCCACAATGGAGGGAGTGACGGAGTCCAGAGGTCCACGTAAGATCAGGAGAATCAAATGTAAAGAAGAGTGTATATGAAGAAGTTCACGATGAAGTACTTCGTGAGCAGCAGCAGGTAGGCCAGTGATTGAAGTCAATCCCGTAGATCTAGCCAGGGTCGTCGTGGGTGGCATCGACATGGCGACAAAGAGGAGCGAGGAGTGCGAGCTCGACGAGGTGAAAGCTGAGAGCCACACGAACCAAAAGTGTAGAGTTGTGAAAAAGTGTCTCGAAGCATTGGAGTAAGTTGAAAACATAAAAGGGCGTTTTTCACGAGATAGGAAGAGTGAGTGAAGGAAGTATCTAGAGATTCCTAGAGTTCAAACGAGGGTGAGACCGAGAGCGTGACGGTGCTGTACTGGATCTATTAATCACAGGCCGACGTGGAGTACGAATCGTAGGGGTACTCGGTGGCGGAGTCGGTGATGCCGCCGGAATAGAACTGGTAGATGTCATACTTCGAGTCGTAGGCGGACCTAGAGGAGAAGTAGGAAAAGAAGGGAGGCGGGGGTCAGGGAAGGTCGAGCAGCCAGGTAGCTCAGCATCGATTTGAGTGGTGTCGCAATTCAAGGCATGCATCATCCCAAAAGTGGTGAGGAGTTCCTGAATATAGTGCACACCATTGTGGATAGCCTGGGTCGCCTGTCGAATCGCAGAGTCCAGACCTCGAATTTGCAACTGAATATGTGGTGAGGTGATGTAGTCCATAAACGAAGGGTTGAGAATAGCGAAGCGGGTGCGTAGGAGGGAGATGGCGAGAATCAATAAACCATGTAAATGAAGAATCTCTCGATGTAGGATAGCCTGGGCCCTCATCGTGATGCCGTCCACAGGGTTGAGGCCAGTCGGAGAAGGGAACATGGCGAGAGGAGAAGGATCAACTGAAAAACTAAGGCTCCAACAGGTTCCAATGAACCTTGAACAACCTTCGGCCGCTGCGGCCACGTACGCCGTGCCAACATGGCTGGCTGCTTTGACCGCTGCGGTCACGTAAAGGCATGAGCCAGCTTAGAATTCCAAAGATGAGACAAAAATCATCGTACGTACGGCCTAGGCCACCTTCGTCCGCTGTGGACACGTACATCTCCGGGCAGGGGAGATAACGACATACACCCGTTCGACGGGTCCACGGGAGGCACTCTGCGGGCTCATCCCGGGTTGGCACGAAGCCAAACACACTCATGGATATGCGTACTGACTTGACAGCGGTGCCACACGCCGGCCTAGGGTTCCATTTCCTAAGAGTACAGGTAAGGAAGCCTGAAAAGGAAGAGGAGGTCCAACAAGTTCAGCGAGGCCATAAAGTCTGAATAAACCACCGAACGATCGACCGACAGAATGACGTCGTCCGCTCACATCTGCAAATCAAAACCAAAGCCCTATGCAACACCATGTCTTGAGGTTCTGGGCTTAGCCTCGTGCCATTCCGTTGAAAATTCAAGCAGGTACGTCAGAGTGGCCAACTCTGATTTCACCAGATCAAATGGGCGTCTTCGTTGGTAGCGGTCCCAAGTGATCTGCCGCTACCCCCTGCAATAAATCAAATTAAAATCCAAAAGGATCCCTATGACTCCAAGGGTTACACACACACACACCAGCGGCACTCAGGCTTGAAAGCGCACACATGCAGCCCTTCCTATACTTGAAGTAAGAACCCCAATAGCTCACGCGATCTGGGGAACAAAGTTCTGCAGTGTTGGGAAATAAACGTATCGCAAGTGTTCGAGTCGCCTTTTCCCATATGAAGTCAAGGAATGTTCACGCCACGAATGAAAAATGCCACGTCAAGAGTTACAACTGCGCCAAGAGCGTGACACAAATGAATCGTTGCTGCAAATTGAAGATTGCAAACCCCTTGCAAAACCCCTTAAGAAAAGGAAAGTTGAAGTTGAATGAGGTGAAGTCTATAGTTGGTGACAATGAACAAAAGCTAGAATGACCACCAAAAGTACGTTTTGCAGGGGGCTCTGTGGACATGACTCATAAGTCCTACGACCCTTTACTCTTCTGCAAGGCAAGCCAAGCATCAACTTCTTTGAAGAGGTCTAGCAAACTGCGAGCCTTGGGATCCAGCAGTGCGCGTGTGCATCAGGGTGTCTCACAACTCTGCGATGAGGCATCAGTGCCAACGTGGCTCTCAATTGGCAAGGAGCGGAAAGTGACTCAAAAAAGGATACTGGCAGCCTTAGTGTCACTGAAGTGCATAATATCATGTCATGAAGTAGTACTTCGCCTCACTGGCAGTCTCCAGCCAAAAAGCTCTGTTGCCGCAGAAATATGCTCCAATTGATTTGGATCGGAAAGTGTCTCGATAAAGTCCTGGCAACGCGCAGGAACTTTACAAAGTCCACACAAAGTCTGTACCATTAACGTATCTCAAACAAGAATCCTGAGAATCCTACAATCCTGCACAGATGATTATACTAGGAACAAGAACGCTACTAGGGGCTCCTGGAATCGCTACTGAGAGCAAGGACGCTACTAGGGGCTCCTGGCCTGCCTTACTACTAGCAGCAAGAAGCTACTAGGAACAAAGGGCATCGCTAGTAGGAGCAAGAAGCTACTAGGAACTCCTGGCCATACTACTAGGAGCAAGAGGACGCTACTAGGAGCCAGGCCTCCAAGCTCAGCTCTTTCCCAGCAGCTGCATTGTCAAAGGCTTCTTTGGCCTTTCTGACTGAGCTTGCCAGCAAACGCTGCTCTTCATTACGTTCGGCCTCCGAAAGAAGCATGTACATGGACCACGCGGCATGCAACACCCTCAACCACCCCTATAACTATAGACATAGAATTGGCCTCTCTGGAGGATCATGACACAAATATCTAAGGAAATTCTCAGCATGATGCAGCTAGCATCCTTAGTAGCCCAAAATATCATGTCATCAAAGTGCTTGTTTCATGACTTCGTGAGCTTGCAGAGCTGCTTCATGCTGTTTCTGTTGTGTCTTTTCCGGTCTTCAATGGTAGAAAGTCCGTCAAAAGACCTATAGCGCAAACTGGGCCTGCTCTTGCAAAGCCCGCACGCGCTGGCGCATTTGCGACAGGCCTGTGTCGCTCACTGCTCACAGTGGCAGTTCACAGTCTTTGATGCAAGCAGTACTTGACTCGCTCCACTGCCTTCGACAAAGTTGTCAAACGATATTTTCCCAGAGTGATCAGTGTCCCATTTGGCCTGAGCGACCAATCTGTGTCCAACTTCGTGTGTATTGCAAGTCGAAATGCAAGAATTGGAGCTTGACCCTTCCTTTTCTGAGTGCAAGCAGAGACACGAACTCCTCGAGCAGCTCCTAAACAGTATTCGGCACTGCCCAGGTCTGTCAGTCTCTAAGCTTCATGAGGCGCACTTCGCTGTCTTTTACCTCATCCTTTATCCACTTCTACTTGGAGGAGGGGGGTGCGAAGCATGAAGCTGATCAATCCGGCGAGAAGCATGTGCATAGTCCATACCTACTGATTGACTTTATTGAGGATTCCTCTGCTCACATTCAAACAAGTTTCGAGTCTCAGTGCACTTTGATAATTTAAAGAAGAATAGAGAGACGAAGAATAGAAGGCGCTTAGGTCCTTTAGCCCTTAGAGCCACAGGCTGAGGAAAAATACTCGTATATGTGATTCATTGATTTTGTTTATATATCTATCCTTTATGACCATGATTGTATTTATCTGTTACTGCGGTTGAGGTTACTCCATCTGTCTTATTTGTTTTTGGATGGTGCGGGTTGCCAGTGCTGCCAGCTGCTTTGTCACGCACCCTAACTGGCCCTGGCTCATAGGTTTGTTGTCAAACAAAAGCCGAAAGCAAAGGAAAGTCAAAACAGCTCAAACCAAAAGTGAGACACAAATAAGCAATACGAATACCTTTCTTCCTTTACCTGGATTTGGACCTCCGGAGGGCAGCCATGATTGGAAGAGTTTGTCTCAGGAAGAAGTGGCAAAAACTGTAGAGTATAGGCATCGCTGAATCTCTCGCAAGAGGTGGGGGTGGGGGTCCCTGAATCAATTGTATAATAGTGAATAGTAAGATTGTTACAGGGTTGGACCCAATTGTTGGTTGGTTTCTGGTCAAATTAGGTCTGCCGCCAATGAGATTACATAGTCTCCACTTGTCGCTGGTTTACTAGTTTGGCTTGCAAACTAGGTGGAGGACACTGAATGCTGCAGAACCAACACAAAAACTGCGTCTTTGGTACATCTTCTGGATCATCCATCGAAAAGTGGCAGGAGGTGCACTAATTCAAACGATAATTTAAATGCTGCAATTCAAATCAAACCTTGGAATCTCAAAATTACTAGATTAGATGTAGAGCAGGCCGTAGGCAGTATATACCATCACTTTGAACTCGTTTTCTGGTGCCCACCAGCCTAGTCATAGTCATAGTCCCAGTAAGAAAGCGTGAACTTCTCTTTGGCAGTTTGGTCATTTGTCAATGTTTGGTCCACGAGCGGGCACTGCAGTGCATGTTTTGGTTGCCGTGCGTTCACGTTCAAGTCTTTTGCTACAAAAAGGAAGAAATGAAAGAGAAATATAAAAAAGGAAGAACACTTAAATGAAGAACGGAAGAATGGAAGATTCCAGGATAACAAAACAGGAAGAAATGCAGAAAGGAAAAGTACATAAAGAAGGAGAGAACGAAGAAAGAAAGAAAGAAAGAATGAATGAATGAATGAATGAATGAAACAAAAAGTAATAAAAGAACAAAACAGGAAAAGAAGAACAGAAAGAAGTACCGGAAGAGAAAATGCAACACAAGTACAAGTTAGAATATAGCATAGCATGAATAGAAGAAGCTTTGTTGACATGAATACTAGCAAGCAAGCCTTAAACCAAATCAACGCCTAAGTGGTAACAAAATGAAGGGGCAAGCGGTGCCCAAGATTTGCATAACGCCTAAAGACCCCGAATTTGAAGGGGAACCCTTTTTGAAGGAGCCCTTGCCTCTTTTCCTTCTCTATTTTTGCGAATCGGACCTGTGCTCCTCTTTCTTTGTATCTCTACCTATATATGTGGAACCATACACTCTTATTTGGTTGACAAAAAAAAACACGTTGAGGAATATCTTTGGGCACGATCTTTTGGAAAGCACTTGCCTGACAGCATAGGTTGGTTTCTGACATAGGTCGGTTTTAGACCATATCTTTCAATACTTGTAGAGATACCCCTACAGCACTACTCACTTCGATAACCTACATTGAACATGTGCTCGTGTTTCTGATGGGCGTGCCGTTTCCAAGGTGCTGATAGACGTGTGAAGTTCTCCTCTGCAGGAATTGACCTCAGAATCTGCTCCTCAAAGCCAGTGACCATGGCCACTTTGCGAACCTGACAGGCTCTGCCCTCTGACAATGCAAATTGTTTCGAAATCACACGCTGATTGAAAGCTTCGGTGAGTGTAAGGTCAGCAAGCCTGTGAAAAGAATCAGAACCCTGTTGAGGCATTGCGTCCGAGGATCTAAGTAGGGGCTTGTCATGAATGCCTGCACAAACTCTGCCACCGGCAAGTTAAGGCCTTCGGGGCAGCGGTACAACAAGTTTTGCTTGGGGCGAAGAGACAGCACTTCCAACATGCCTTGCAAATATGTGGTTTAAAAAAACACACACACAGGAAAACGTCAAGCCCTTGGGGTTCACACAGCTTACCGCAGTGGAAAGAAGCTGCGACACACACTTAAAATGAGCGCTCCGTAGAGCTGAGATTCAAAGATTCGCGGTGAACGTTAGCTTTTTATGTTACTGCTTTAGCCGAATGCGCTAGCACTTAACTGCAAATCACCGAATGAGACAACGTTGTCTTTTGCGTAGAATCACCAAGGTCAATTGAAGTTAAATTTTGCAGGTACATCAGTTCCGCGTCTGGAACTGATATCCTCACCGTGCATTGCCAGCTTCGTAGGTGGAGAAGCAATACAGGTGTCTCCACCCCCTGCTGAATAGAACTTGAAAATGAGAGAATAGTCAAAGTAGTATGTTAGTGCCCCTGGAGACGGGGGTTGCCACACACTTGAGATATTGTGTACTGAACTGAATGCGGTGCCACACGCCGGCCTAAGAGACCCAAATCCTGAAAAACCAGGTGAAGGGACCCAGAGTTCCTGTAGTTAAAGGCCACGACCGACGAGACGACAAGCTGACGGCGTTCCGTGCAAGTCTGCAGCAACAAGAAATTCAGGTCAGGGAGGTTCTTGGCTTAGCCTCTCGCCATTCGAAGAAATGGAAAATTGCAGGTACGTCGGAGCGGCCAACTCCGATATCACCAGATCAAATGGGCGTCTTCGTTGGTAGCGGTCCCAAATGATCTGCCGCTACCCCCTGCACTAAAAATACCAAAAGCGAAGAAAAAGTCCACATCAAATCCAACGGGATCCCTCTGACTTCAAGGGTTACACACACACGCCTCCCCGAGGGGAGGCAAAATTAAGGCTAGGACCAATGCGCAAATGTGCGCGCAGAAAGGACAAAAGGATGAAGACATGAAAAGGGAGACGACGGGACAAAAGTGTGTGTGGTTGCGATGAAAGAGAAACCAAATGCACAGGGACAACCGATGAACCCCCAGGTGTGCGAAGGGGAAAGGATGAAAAGGGAAACAAATGGAGGGGACGGAAACCGATGAACCCAAACCTCATTAAAGAACCTAGGCAAACCTAGGCAAGCCTCGTTAAACATGTACGTGCTGTGTGTGCGCCTAAGTTCACGACAGGTTCCAATGAACCTTGAACTGACTTTGGTCGCTGCGACCACGTACGGCGTGCCCGAAGGCTGCCACCTCCGACCGCTGCGGTCACGTAAGGGCATGAGCCAACTTGGTATTCCAAAGATGGGACAAATTTGAGTTCTTATGGCATGAGCCAGCTACTGTCCGCTGCGGACACGTACATCTCCGGGTAGGGGAGATAACGACGTACACCCGTTCGACGGGTCCACGGGAGGCACTCTGCGGGCTCATCCCGGGTTGGCACGAGGCCAAACACACTTGAGGTATTGTGTACTGAACTGAATGCGGTGCCACACGCCGGCCTAAGAGACCCAAATCCTGAAAAACCAGGTGAAGGGGACCAGAGTTCCTGTAGTTAAAGGCCACGACCGACGAGACGACAAGCTGACGGCGTTCCGTGCAAGTCTGCAGCAACAAGAAACTCAGGTCAGGGAAGTTCTTGGCTTAGCCTCTCGCCATTCGAAAATGGAAAATTGCAGGTACGTCGGAGTGGCCAACTCCGATATCACCAGATCAAATGGGCGTCTTCGTTGGTAGCGGTCCCAAATGATCTGCCGCTACCCCCTGCACTAAAAATACCAAAAGCGAAGAAAAAGTCCACATCAAATCCAACGGGATCCCTCTGACTCCAAGGGTTACACACACACACTTACACTCAAAGTTCAGGTGAGGGAACGTACCATCCAGTGGAAGTTCAGTTACGCAGTACACTTGACTGGTTAGTTGGTGAAGAACGGAAAGGCGGTAAGTCAACTCACTTGAAGGTGCTGTAACAAAAGTGTATAAGCAACGCTCAGCCGCTCGCACATAGAGTTCGTAGGGAGGTAGGTTCAATAATAGAGCGAGACAGGTGAGTTGCTCTATATAAGTAGGTACAAGCAAAAAAGGAAAAAGCCTCCTGTTGGTAGCTAGGGTAGACTAAAAGGATAAAGAAGCCTCCTGCATAGCTAGGGACTGGCAAATCGATCCATTAGGGTAGAAATGGAAGGGAACCGACAGACAAGTCTGCCGACAAACCCTGCCTCCTGTTTTTGGGCGAGACAGAAAATCACCCAGTAGATTAGAACAGTCACCGTAGCTCCCAGCTATGACCCCAAATTAATGGGTAAGTCATCCAGGGACGCTACATGCAGGAACAGGAAACTGGCCAAGTTTCCCTTCCCACTCTTATCCACAGCTTCATTGCGTGTGATGGGATAAGACTGTCACACGCCCCTGCTTTGAAAGTAGGTGAAAGGACCCCTGGGTACGGGGTTTGACACACACGTGATGGAGACATCCCGCATGTGCTGGGCATGGAATTTGTGGCATGGAGAGAGGAATCCAAACGCTTCTTCCATTTCTTCAAGTCTGGCTTGTGCTGCTCAGGCAATATGATTGGTTCAGGTATATAACTTTTGTACGGCTGCCGAGCCATCAGCCACACAAAGGCACGTTGTGATCTGATAGCATCGGAAGGGGGAGCAGGTGAAACATGCGAGACGTAAACATAAGTACAACTTTTACGAAATGCTCATGTGGAATGCAGGTCTGTCTGCTTTGGCTTGGGCAAAGTGCGCTGCCTTCCAGGCCCTCAAAGGAATCCGCGATGGTTTGAGGATCTGTCATAGCTACCCTTGGCAGCAGTAACCAAAACTTGACATTGTCCTGAGTAAGGTCTTGCAACAAGCAAGCTGAGATGCTCACTGGCCGTTGATGCGGAAGCTCCGACAGGGTGAATGAAAAGAGCAACTAGTACTTCTGCCAAAGATTGGTTTTGCTTCTGGATATTTGTTCAGAATGTGAGTGTTAGGATTCTTACTTCCAATCACCTCCAACAATGACTCAAAGATCTTTCATGTTTGTATGCTCGATACCTGTTGAGCCCATATGTTGCCATTTTCTCGATGTGGTGCTGTTGTCGACAAAACATCCACTCACAATCAACAAAAAGCTTGTGGAAGTGCGGAGCCTGCTTAATGCTGGTTCAAAAAAACTGAGGTGCGTTGCAGACAGGAAGAGAACGCAAAGCATAGGCGCGAAGCATACGCCCATCACTGAGGACTGACCAGATTCAAACCAAAACCACGCTCGCATCTCTCTGTTATAGAAGTGGTTCAAAGTCGGTTTCATACTTCTGTGAGATCTAAGGTCTAGCAGCAAGTGTAGAATTTCTTAACCTTCGAAAGAAAATTCCAAGTGTTTACGCCTCCAGTGCCTTTTCTAAAGGTCCAGCTGGACTGGTTGTGGCCTCCGGGAAGTGAAGCGACAATTGGTTGAAGCTCTGAGTTCAACCCAACCTGGTTGAAAGCTCGGACAATGGCCAGAATGGCCTTGGACCAATCATGTCAATGCTTGGCTTAGAGATATGTGTAAAGCAGACCCGTCAAATTAAGGTTGCTGCATACGAAGTGAAGTACGCGACAGTAACGCAGGAAAGCGCCAACCTCAGGTAACTCCGCCATGTAGAATTTCAAGAGCTTTCAAAGAATTGTCCCCTTGGATTCAAAGGAGGGCCCTTGCAATATTCTTCAGCTGCTCGGTGGCCCAGCAATGATGGGCGCATGTGGACGAGCTCAGCAGTCATGCCATCAGGCGGGTCAACAGCAGCTAAGTTCTGCTGGGCAACGATAGCCTTCAGCATTCCGACGGGTGGAAAACCAATGGTGTGTCATATCCCCAAACCATAGTTTTTGTGATGGGTTTGCAGAGCCGGTGTCATTCTTCATTCCTCCCCTGTGATCTGCCAAGACTGTGACGTACATGTACTTGGCAGGTTTCAAAAGAATTGCCTAAATCGATATTTCCTCTTTCATCATTGTAACTTGACATCGCACAAGGCGGAACTGCGCTCGTTTGTTCTGTTTCCACGCACTGGCTTCAACAAAACCTAAGTAGTCACTTCCACTCCAAAAACATGTAGCCTGCTTGGGGCTTTAGCGACTTTGCTTTGCGGCTGCTCTTGAGGTGGAAAATGTATTGTTTGCCAAGGCTGTCCATTGAATTTTGTGCAAGCTCTGCAAGTGCTTCAATCTGCACACCAGGTTCATCAACCGTGATTCGACCTAGACCCCTCAGCTTCTTCGTTTGCCTTTGCAGGTCGGGCCGAGAGGAATCATTTGGCACCTGATTCACCACAAACACATTTTCATGTCCTGACCCTTTGCAAAATCCGCCCGGACCGAAGGTGAGGCGTGTGTGAGTTCGGGCGCGAACACTGAGCTCTTGCTTTAGCTGAGGGGGGAGGGACAGGTGTGTCTGGAGGTGCAAAAAGGATGTGGAGGTGGTGTGCCATATGACCTGGGGCGGGGCAGGACATGAAGTGGTACACGTGGCGGTGAAACTGTTGAAAGGAGTCGTTTACGTGCCTTTCAGTGATCTTGTGATGCAAATGATGCAATAATGAGACACGCAAACCTCTTCAATGACATGATCAACATAGGACCTACAAATGAACGGTACAATGGTACAATGCAGGAAAAAGAAAAAAGATCCACAAAATAATGATGGACAGGCCGTGCTTATAAGTTGGACCCACTTAGAAATGTACCAAAGTCCAGTGGGTCGAAAAATGCAATGTTGTTGTTGGAAGTTCAATATGATTGTGTCTCTGTTTTCGGTAGTTTTGCTAGGTTGCTCCCTATGGGGTTTTAGAAAGGTTCCCAGCGGTGTAGTCCCCCGAAGTTTTTCTGCAGTTCCCCCAAGAGCAAACAAAATCAGCCCACCAAAAAGCTACAAACTGCCAAGACAAAAAAAAAAAAAAAGTAATCAAAACCAAGCCATCGAGACCCAACAAAGTCCACGAGAACACTACTGTATAACCAAAAGCAAGCCATCAAACCAACTGTCCAAAAAGCTACACTAAGGGCAACAGAAGAAGCTATCAAAACCTAGCCATCAAAATCCAAGAGAACCGCCAAAAGCAAGCAATCAAAAACCAAACCAACACAATGCCACACAAGCCACCAAAACCCAATAGCCGCAGAAGCCACAGAAACCACAAAAAGAACAAAAAGCCCAAAGCCACACAAGCCAAAAGACACAAACGCCAAACAAGCCAAAGTAGGTCCTTCTGGAGTAGATGTGCAAGTGTACAAATCTCTCTTGGGTTCCTCGTTATTTTCGGCTTTGCACGGTAGCTCCTTCTGGAGCTTTGACATGTATGTATAAGCACAAGTGTACAAATTTATCATGGTTCCTTCCTTGCAGTTTTGCTACATAGCTCTTTCTGGAGTTTTGAGCACTAATGCCACAGCAGCCACAAAAGCCAAAAGCTGCAGAAGCCACAGAAGCCACAGAAGCCACAGAAGCCACAGAAGCCAAAAGCCACAGGACCCATGGAAGCCAAAAGCCATAGAAGCCACAAAAATATAGGCAATAAAAAATCCAAAAATAGATCGCCCTGTGTCAAAAAATAGTAAGACATAAATGAAAATACAATGCGATGCAGTGCAGTGGATGATAAATTGCAGGAATTCCCTTCAAAATGTACAATTCAAAGGGGGTCGATCGAAATCATATGTTTGTGAAATATTATCACCGGATGTATACACACTTCTTTTCGCTCTTGTTATACTTGGGTCTCTTGCCACTGTGAAAATTATCTTATTCCTAACACCTCCACCTGAATACACGCTGTCTCTCAAAACAACTGGTGCAGGCGTTTGTCGTCGCAAAGCGACCTCAACATATCATCTCTTGACAGCACTGCCTCACGCTCCAGATTGAAGGATGCATGTGCTGGTTGTGGCACCAACCCGGGCAACAAGCCTTTCATTTGCACATGTGGTTCCATTTCTCGCTGCTTGCTTGGCGGGCCAAGTTGAGCTGACAAGTTTGAAGAAACCAAAGGACGAATCACTTCATTAATGCTATGCAACACTTGTCGCAAGCGGAGCAGCACACTGAAACAAGAGCGTACTTGACGGTCTAGAACGTGGAAAGTGAAATTAATCATGGAGTGAGGCTTAAAAGAGGCGGTCGTACATACGGCAAATCAGTAGATGACTCCAAAGCAGGAACTGGAGTGCATGACAATCCAAGATTCACAAGCGTTCCAAGAGTTGTATGTATATATATATATAGTTTGATCATAGGAGAGCCCCCATCTCATGTGAGCACTAAGCCAAAGATCCAGGCCTTTCTTCGATTGCCGTGCAACGCTTCCATTCCTGAGCTTTGGCTATCCCAAGTCAACACTCTAGATTCTTGATACACACTCGTTGGAGTGCCTTGCTGCAGGAGGAAGGCAGAGTCACCGCCTGTAACTCACTTTGACGTATAGTATAGGATAATGCTCGGGTCTTCACGGCCCTACAATGGCATAAATTAAAAAAACAAGGCCCAGCCTTGTGCAGCAACATATCTGTGCAATATAGCTGCAAAGACCTAGTTCGTCTGAATCACTGCTGAAGTTGATTGAGACGCATCCTTGAGGGCGCATTTAAGTCTGTTGCGAGAGGCCGCGCGATGGACACCATGATATGTACGTTCCTGAATTGCGGAACCGTGCCAAGTCCACAAACATTCACCAGTTCCGCAAACTTGCTTTGAAGAATTGACAGGCAACAAAAGGTGCTTGGGCCTCTTTAGTATGGGCCTCCCTCAAAAGGAGGCCCATGCTTAAAGGGGCTGAAGCACTGGCCCTAGGGCCCAGGCGGTTGATCACCCACTTAGTAATCCACCCATGTTCAAGCTGCGACACAGCTGCGGCAGAACGGTCGATCAAAAGAGCTAACGATGGCAGTCACGTCACATCTCCTCCAAAAGCCCTCCAACAGCCACAGCAGCAGAAATGGCGCTTCCATTTTTTGCCTTGCGGGTTCTGCTAAGCTCGAAAAGTCACAGTCATTTGTCGAGTCCAAGCATTGGCTATATGCGCAAAGTCTCTTCTTGAGACTTTGAAAGCATGTTTTGTGCATTCAGTGTGCGCTCACTGGAAGGCAAGCACCACCAGCCAAATGATCCTGCACTGGCAACAAAAGAAATCCAACACAAAGTGTTCGCCGCATCAGAATCCTGAGGACGCTGGGGACTCCGAGATGGTAAGGCCAATGGGCGAGCTGCGTCATCCCTGATGTGTGCTGTCACGGTGGCAAAGGATCAGTTTGGTTTGTTTGTATCAAATCTTTCTCAGTTGAGTTGAATTAATGCATATTGAGACAAGGACACAAAAGGCATTGGAAGAGGCTCCCGAAGGTGTCCACCAAGCAAACTGGTTCCTCCGAGTAAAAATGAATCCAGTCCTCATGACCATGAATGTTTCCGGGAGACCGCACCATCGTCCAATCGCCTCAAGAGAACAGAATATCTTTCTTTAAAGCCCGCTCCCCCCGGCCTACGTATAAATTAAGTAAGACACTCTAGTAAGCTACTAGCTACTAGTATGCTACTGGCATGGACGCAGGATAGCTCACGCACTATTTATTTAGTTCCTAGATTTTTAGGGAAACTTACTGTATCGCTTGCAAACAAAACTACATGTTGGACACACCTTTAAGGCTGTCGCAGTTCAGTATGAACTTTGAACCAAAATTGGGATCTCTTCAAACAAACTCACCCCATTTGGTGCCTTTGCAGGATCTTCTCACTTTTCTCTGCCTGTTGCAAAGAACCTAGGTCAAGCAAACTCACAAGCCCGTGCTTGAAAAAAACAAGACACAATTGGTTGCCAGCAACATGCCTGCACCTCGCAGCGTTCCCCCGACAAGATTGTCCTGCAGCTGGACAAGGAAGGTGCACACCCATGCTACACAAACATTG